GTGAGGCCCAAGCAGGCTTTGGCCTGCGAGGCGCGTGTTCATGGGGAGTCGCAGTAGTAGCAGACAGCACCCATCGAACATGGCACTTTGAGACCATACTGCATCAAACTACTCAACTACGTGGGCCTCAAAAAGAACCAGCAAAGCGGACGGCCTAACATGTTTCAACCCGTTCGCTACATTTTTTTGGTTTCACCTGGTTCTAGCTTTAATTCACACGTCTTTTGTTTACCCTTTTCTACCTTTTCTTCACCTTACAACTTCACCTTTATTCCACCTTTCATTCAATGCTAGTGGCAACCCCGGCCAAGATAAGACTGTCTGTGCCCTTGGTGCTCTAGGATTCAGGGCAGTGTGTTGGTTCCGTGGCTCCCGTTTCTATATTGTACGATTGAGGGTCCGCAAATCATGAAGTCATCATGAAGCAGAGAGAGCTGTCACCGAGGTGTTGGCCTGAGCCATGTCGGAATACGAAACAAACAGTTTGGTATTCGAGAGAGCTGCAGACGACTCGTCGAACGGATGGGCAACTGGGAAGAGACGACTGAAGCGTCTCCAAGAAGACGATGGGCAAATCGCCGGCCTGCAGCGCCGCATCCAGCTCAGACGGGCAGTGAACCTCGGGTATGCCGGCGGTTTTGTGGAAGGGAGTTGAACCTGCAACAAAATCTCTGCTGAACGCTTCCCCTTGGCACCTGGGGCACGGGACTATTTCTGTGCCTGGTTCTCAAATTCTTTGAAAGACGGTCAGATGCTTCCTGCATCCAATGCGCGTGCGCGTGAAACGAAGACGGGCGGAGGGTCTTGGACACTCCGCTGTTCACAGAGCGCAGCTTCTTGGAGCTTCTTCCTCCCTTTAAGGGAGGGCTCAAAGAGAGAGAGCTCTGTTTAGGGGGATATCCTTTAGGCTTGAGCGGTCTGGCGCAGATCTGTGAGGGTCTGTTTCATCTCACCTCCTTGGCCTAGAGCTGGGGGTGCCAAGGTGTCGATGCCTGTGGAGGCCAGCTCCTGGAAGCCTTCGAAAGCCGCTTGGACCGACTCCTCGAGACGAGTCATGATCTGCTCCAGCTCTTCTTGATCCTCGACGATCCCCTCTTCCATCAACTTGCAATGGGAGTCGAGGGTTTCTTTGCTCTGCTTCAGCAAGCTCACGAAACTCCGCACCTGGTTCAGCACTCCCAAATGCAGAGTCTTCTTCTCCGATGCCACAAAGCTTTCGCAGCCGTCCAGCAAGAACTGAGCTGTACTTGCATCACATGCGATCTTCCGAAGCTCCAGGTTCTTCACGATGCCGAAGCCAGGATTTGCATCGGCGCTGGGCACCTCGACGCTCAGGTCCTCGATCTTCTTCCTGCTCACCATTGGAGTCTCTTATTAGGGCCGTACTATAAGCCGTAGGAGTTCTTTTTTCAACACCACAGATCTTAAGGATTTTTTGCTCGCAAAAAGTTCCCTGATCCAAGCACTCACTACAGACACATTGAAACCGGAAAGCCCTCACTACTCGACCACTGCGGAACGGGAGGCAGCACACGGCCAGGCCCCAAGCCCCCCCGGGTGCGCCTGTTGAGTCGGATGGCTAAGCAGTGCCTTTGAGCTGCCTTCTCCATGGCTTCGCCGGCTTTCGCATTCTGCAAGAGGCCATCCAAGAGGTCTTGGTAGGGATTTCCCAAGAAGCAGGCCTTGTACTCCCCCTCCCGGAATTGGTCCCTGCGCCACTCGAGCTTGAAGAGGAACTCTTTCCAGGACCACCTCAGATCGTGAAGAATCCCTGCGGTTTCACCACAGGAGTCCCGGATTTGGCAGAAGTGGTCGACTATGATGACAATCAGCAAGTTCATCAGAAGGAACATCATCATCAAAATGAAGAGCCAATACCAGATCGTCGATGTAATGGGAGCAACTTCATAGAGTGCATCGAAGTTCGCCGCGCCCATGAGCATCATCACCGCGCTGGCACAGCACTGAGGGTAGGTGGACCACCCTTCCAACTCTGGGCCGAACAAAATTTTCCCTCCGACTGCAAAGTTGTTGAAGATGACCAGGAAGATCATCATGAAGTGCAAGACATCCCAGAAGCCGTCTGCCAAGGTGATCTGAATCATTGCTAGCTTGGCTTGCCCTAGGGATCCTTTGAGCATTCTGGCGGTGATGATTGAGGAGTACCAGAAGAGGCTCAGCTGGAAGTAGCCACGCATCACCACGATGGCGTGGGCATCGTCGATGTTTTTGGACCATCTGCTCTGATAGGCGATCTCATCCAGGTCGCTGGCCTCGGACATTCATCCGGGCAAACCTAGCGTCGTCTAGCAAGTCTGATTCTTGAAGAACAAGTGGCTAACGGTGCTCGTGGAAGCTGCGAGACGCCCGTAGCCAAGACGGCAGTGTACTCCTGCATCGGCGCACCCCCTCTTTGCAAATATTTCGACCTCCATACCCTCCCCAAAAAGCCAAATAGACAGACGAGGCAGAAGAGTCCTGGATCCAGAGGGAGTAGACGGCGAGTGCAACACCGACCTCACGCGGCGGAGGACTTGCTCCGTGCTTTGCTGGGTTCGGAAAAGATGACCGTAAACTCCGTTGTTACATACACACACACGCCCCTGCATGTTGATGTGTGTACATATCTATATATATATATATACAAACATATTCATGTGTGTAGATCTATATATATATATATATTTATTTATTTATGTATTTATATTTATATTCATATTCATATTCATATTTATATTTGTATTTATGTTTGTATTTATATATGTATGTATGTGTATATATATAAATACATATGTGTACATAGGGGGTGGGTGTGTGTGTGTGTATGTATGTATAAGTACATACTAGAGAGAACCCGCTGCTTCCATCGGCGGGCAATTCAGGATTTGCAAAGAGGATCTACGCGATGGACTCTAACAAATGGACAAACACCGGACAGAGACAAAGTGCCAGCAAAAACACGGATAGGCATTCAGCCGGAAACAACGAGAGAGAGAGAGAGAGACAGACAGACAGATAGAGGGAGAGCCAGGGACAGCGAACAGACCGACAGACAGACAGACAGACAGACAGAGAGCGAGCCAGATAGACAGACAGACAAACAGACGCGGCAGACAGACAGACGGAGAGACAGGCAGACGGGCAGACGGACGGAGAAACAGACGGACAGAATGACAGATGCACACACAAGCAGATGTGGACAGAGAGAGCGAAAGAGACAGATGGACAGAGAGAGAGCCCGATAGATAGACAAACAGACGGCAATGGAAACCCTCCACTGACCATGGAGGGTAGAGGCGTGGCGCGATGTTCTCCCAAAAAGAAGTAATGTAGGAGTTTACTCGCCGTTTGTAATCTCGATATAATTTCAAAACAGCCTTTTTCCTCCCTGGCTCTAGTGAGAATGTGCGAATTTTCACGCGACAGTCATCTGCTAGGAAAACCCGCCCTCCTGACTGTTTTGGACATGCTTAGCTGTGTGTCTTCCGGCCTTCCTGCTCGCTGCTGAAGAGGCATGCAAGGAGCAGTGGCAGGAGATGCGGAGGTATCTGTGCCACAAGGTCGAAGGACGCAAAGAATGATCTCAATGATTTTCCGGGCCGGACGAAAGTAATGAGCTGTTGGGAACACGAAAAATCCTGCGATTTCCGAATCGAACGAAACCGAGTAACCCGGGCTTTTTATTGCGGCCCAACAGTACCCCTTTGCGGCCGCACAAAACTCGTCCCAAGTAGCAGGTAGCATACCTGGATTCCGCGCTACCATCAAGAAAAGACATGAACGGGCCAAACAGCCTTCGATTTTCGTGGTTTGGTCCGTCAAGAGCAAAGCCGAAAACGCAGGGTGTGCGCAACGTTTTATGGAGTAAACCAATAATAAAACAAATAAACATACACATGTATGTGTGTGGATGTCTGTCTGTATGTAAGAATGTACATGTACTTAACAGAGACAGTCGCTCGTCGACAGATGTCTGGCGAATCCGAGTGCCGCACTGCAATCGAAATCCAATCCACCAGGTTCCAGAAGTTCGATAGGTAGGCTCCTAAGAACTGGGCTACTTTCAAGAGCACTGTTATGACCACATGCGCATCTCTGTCGGACGGCCTTGCATTTTCTTTCCTCTTCTTCTTCAAACAAGAACAAGGAGCACCAAACCCAACCTTTCGCAATGCCGGCGCCTGTGCGCGCCGCAGAAAGGGGTCACAGAATCAGAAGCTAGACAAGTCGAACACCCACGTACTCACGTACGCAGGCGTGTGCATACCCATCTCCGTCTGACAGACCGATCCCCACCCTGATCAACTTCGAAACTTTGTCGAAGAGCCCCCTCCGTCTCTTCTCTCCCTCTCCCGCTTCTTCGGCTCATGCATGAACAGGAAATCCTAATACAAACCCCGAGAACGAGCTAGTAGGATCCTTAAGCAAAGGAAACGGAAGCCGTGCTTGTATGTCTGGGGCCTCGGTCAAAGCATGCTATCCCGAAGGTCACTGCCCCAGGGAAGCATGGAGAAACTGTGTCGGCCTCAAACCCTTCGCGGAGCAACTTCGAGCCCCTCATGCTTTCTCCATTTCGAACCCCAAAGAAATGACTGCTAGGGGTGAAGATCGAGGGTCGAAGCTCGCGTCGAAAGGTCGCTTTCAGCACCTCCCAGAGCTCTTGCCTCAGGAGCAGCAAGATCATAACCTGAGTTGTCGAGTTCAAAATCGTCCTTCAGTCTTGGACCGAACCGAAGAGGTGAATAAGTGAATACCTGCAGCCAAGTGGCAAGCCAGAAGATTTCCGGAAGGAAGTCCATGACAGATGCTTGTCCTGGAACAGCACGGAAGACGTGGCTTCTCACCGTCTTGGTGATACCGCCATCGTTCAACCACTCGAAGGCAATAGACAAGATCACGAAAGACCCACTCTCACCGTTGAGCATGAGGGCCTCTATCTGCAGGGACGTGGAAGCTTCGGTTAGCCATCCAACTCGTCGCAACTGCGTAGCCGTCTCAAGCGCATTGCTTAGAGGCCTCTCGACATCGAAATGTGCGTCGTAAGCCCCGTCGGTAGAGGTGCTCGACAAGAAAGCGCTCCTTACACCAATGGGCAATTGGTCTACGATGGTAAAATTCGCGTCGGCCAGCGGGCCGAAGGGATCCACGGCCATGTCAGCGCTGCGGCAAAGGACAGTGTACCAGGACTGAAGGGCAGCTGGGAGATTGCAGTTTCCCACATCCAAGTTGGCTCGGCGCTGGCGAGCACGGAGACCACCCACCACCAAGTTCCGATTCAAAATTAATCCCGGGCGCCGGATCACCTTCCCCGCAACAGTGCCCCAGACGTTGGGCAAGAGCCCATGCTCCATCCAAACCATCACATCTTCGGCTGTTCTTATGCGACTCCAAGTCATAGGCTCCATGTCCTGGGAGCCGAGAGGGTAAAAGCCCCCAGAGGCAGCCACCAGCCTTTCGGCAGTATCTCCTGGAAGCCTCCCCAGAAATTCGAAGGCTTCCGTCTGGCCGTCGTCTGTGCAAGAACTCGCGGGAAATCCTCCAATGTGGCGGCAGCCGCAGCGGCAGGGCCTCAATCAGACGCAAAGCGCATATTAAGCAATCGAAGGAAAAAAGCACCCAGCGCAAGACTCCTGCCGCCAAATGTGGCGGAAGCCTTCAGCTGAGGACACGGCATGTTGGATTCCGCCGGTGTGCGCAAGCGAACGCCGCTGATGCCAGGATGTGACATGATCCCCTCCACATAACTGACCACAGCCTCTTGGACTTTGTACGCCTGGTTGACGTTTGATCTGACGATGGCCAGGTAGGCGAAGATTAACCAAAGCACGGCCGTGAAGGTTAGTCTACAGAGACTTTGCCTCCACCTGCACAGCCAGTCAATCCAACATCCTAGACTCCCAAAACACCATACACTGCACGCACACTGCACCTTGACGCAATCCTCTACAAACATACCCTTCTAGGTCCTAGACGTTGCACGTCTGGCATGCTGAGATGTTGCGATCGCTCAGTGCCCGGCCACTCGCGCTGGTTCAGGTACTCGATCATTTGAAAGCGAGAGACGCCCTTCGTCTCCTCCTCCACAGGCGGAGCATTGTCGAAGTCCGCCAGGTCACCACCCAAGTCGCCGAGGTCATCCCCGAAGTCGCCTAAATCTTCGAAGTCGTCATCAAGTCCATCTGGCAGCTGAAGGTCGTCTTCCGCGCTCATCCCCTCACAACCCGGGCGAGCCGGAAAAGCGAGGGGCCATCAATCTAGTCATTCTGCATGAAGGGCCCGGCTGCGGCATCCGCATCCACCTTCAACATGACGCTGCCAGTCCCTACCTGCCTCTCACCAGGTCGAGGATCCTACCTCTGTCGGGCTCTATATAAGTTTTTTTTTATCAGCCTCTCAAATTCGGATCGCTTTCGCTTGAAGTCCCTAACCTAGCTCTCTCTAGCTCTGATAGGTAATTACACTCTTCTCCGTACACAGGCCCCCCGGGTGAGAGAAGGAGCGGTGAGCTGAAGAAAGCGGCTCTCCGAGAGCCCAGCTGCCACCGCGCTGCAGCCGGCCAGCCTGGAGCAGCAGCGGACGCACGTAGTCCACAGCACAGAGAGAGCGTCTCTATAAAAACTAACACGGAGCGACGAGAGAGAGAGAGAGAGATGTAGAGAAATACAAGACCGAGAGCCGGACGGAGAAAGAGAGAGAGAGAGGGAGAGGGAGTGGGAGAGCGAGAGGTAGGTAGGTAGGCAGGCGGGTAGGTAAGTAGGTGGTAAGTAGGTCGGTAGGCAGGGTGGTAGGTAGGTCGGTAGGTCGGTAGGTCCGTCGGTCGGTAGGTAGGTAAGTAGGTAACGGTAGGTAGGTAGGTAGGTAGGTAGGTAGGCAGGTAGGTAGGTAGGTCGGACGTAGGTAGGTAAACAGGGTGGTAGATAGTCGATGAACAGATAGGCACAGATGCAGGAAGAGAGCATGGGGCATCCTTCGATGCGTGTTTTTGTGGGCTGCTTCGGGGTGTCGTTCGCAAGGCTTGTTTCGAGCAGGAGTGGTTGTGGTTGGCTCAACTCAACGGAGCGCTGAGCTATCAAGGGTTACGGAATAAGAAAGCAGAGCAAACTCAGGCTTGTAGGAGCAGCAAGGAGCCTGGTCATGAAATCCCAAAAACTTCAAGAGCACCCTCGAACTCGAAATGATTTTGGAATCACTGTTGGACCCTCAGACTTGGAAGGACCCAAATGCAAGAGAAGCAACTCCGCGCCTCTCGCGGAAATCCTGGCCGGTCACTTTGCGGAACCCGGCTCTGGCCCCGCAGGCTCATGAAGGGCATGTTGGAGGACATGGACTCTTTGGGAAGCCTGGGAAGCATGAACTCCGTGCAGACTTGCAGCTCTCCCAAGCTGAGGCAGTGTATGTCCACATACATTTATGCTGCAGATGTATGTATGTATGTATGTATGTATTTATTTGTGTATATATATATACACATGTGTATACATATATATATATTTTTTGTATGTATAAGGCTCACATGCATATGAGGCCGCTATGCACGCAGTATTCAGTTGTGTTCATTTTAACAGCACAACTCGCACGACTTGCCTCGGCCGACAGCCCGAGCCTCAGTCGGCGAATCAGTGAAGAAGCAAGCAAGTTCTCGTTTGTTGCAAGGGAGTTAGGCAATTTGTGGTAAGCAGCTTGTCGAGTCAAAAACTACGGCAGCTCCACGTAGTGAGGTAGTGCTTAAGGCACTTTGCGTGTGAGCTACAACCTGGCATGCGCCGCACATTGAAGGTAATGTCTGAGCCTGAAGTACATTAATCAGTTGCAAAATTGCAGACAACGGTCGAAGATTTTTGGTTCCTAGCTAGGTTCGCATTTAGGCTGCGAAAGCGGAAGTTAAGTATCTGTTGGCGACGCGCTGCTTGGCAACCATCGACTTCGACAAATGCAACCTTGTAAATTTCTCTGCCGGCTTCTGTTTGTAACAGTGACACACAAAGCAGCACGAGTCTTGCATACTTTGAATGAAGGCTACCGGCCATTAAGCGTGCAAAGCGGTGATGCTGGAAATCATGCACGCCCGGGCTTGACCGTGCCGTGAAATGCTGAGCTATATCGCACGAAAGCTTGCTTGAACTTCACATCAAGGCACAGCAACATCCTGCGAGGATTCAGTAGGATCTCAGTGTAATCCACGAAAGCGGCAAGCTCTTGCAGAAAGTGGACGAAGGTTGCCCAGAGCTCACCCCCCTCAATGCCCTCACCCTTCATCGACACCCATCGGCCCCAACCACGCGGCTCACGCACCTTGCAGGCCCCCATCACGCCCTCCCCACCATCATTCCTCAGCCTCCTTTCAAGTCTCCTGGTCCGCATCGTAAATTCTTAAAAAAACAAAGTACGGATTTTAATTACTCGCCCCCCAGCACAACCACGCGGCTCACGCGCCCTCCTCCCCTTAATTGACCCCCATAGGCCCTCACCACCATCCCGGTGCCGTGAAGGCAAGAGCGTTGCCTTCACCGTGGTTTTGGTGCCCAAAACACACACGGTGAAGGCAAGAGGCCGTTGCCTTCATCATAGTTTTGGTGCCAAAAACACACACTGGCGACAGCCATTGATCCGGCATGGTCGTTGTGGTCCAGCACGCTAGCTAGGGGTGCCGCCGGCGCCGCCGACCGCATGCCTGGACATCATCGGACCCTATGTTTCCCTTTCAGGGGCCTGCGAGAGGGCATTGGGCGCTCGCCCATCTTCGAAGCAGCTCCGATGAGGCTTCCCCCACGGCATGGCATTGTTTTTTGCGAGTTTTTGGAAGCGCATCATGAGCATCAGGGGCACCCCTTCGGGCGGAGCGTCTTTGAGATTTTGTCGTGACATGAAATTGCGCAATCTTCAGGGCGGTACAGCATGAGTAGAAAAGAAGCCGCAATCCTGTCGATGATGCTCCGGTCTTCCACTCTGGGGTCTGTCCTGCCGGCCATGCCGGCCGTACCACCAAACCCTGCAATATACATATATATATATATATGTGTGTGTGTATATATATATTATGTATATGGTATGTATGTACGTAAGAGTACGTAAGATAGTATACTTCTTGTATACATATATCGGCCCCGAAGAGGATCCGACTAATACCTATTGTTCTGGAATCCCCCCTGCAGGGACCCCGACATCTCGTCCGGGCCAAGGGCTTCTCGGATGACCTGGAGACTTGTTGGAGGAGTTTCTGCTAGTTACCCAATGGGTAGTTCTCTAAAGTAGGGTCCCTTTTAGGGTCCTCTTTACAAGGATGCCGTACTATCTTGGGGATTCAATCAAGGGACCCTAATTTAGAAAACTACCCCCTATGTAAAGGGATTCCTACGGCTAAAAGTTAGGTCAGTAAGGCCATTTGGAGTCCTCAACTGGGCAGCCTTCACACTTCGTCACGCTCGCGCAAGGCGGGATCTATGATACAATTTAATGAATCTGCAAGTCAAGGAAGCTGTAGAGCAACATGTCTTCGGCCCTCAAACTCACGCCGCACCTCCCCCATTCTCGCTTGCAGAGCCTCTCGAAGCGTGGCCTCGATGCAGGAGGTGAGACGCCAGGAAAGAATCGTGTAGAATCATGTAGACTCCTGACGGAAGGCTCATGAAAGAGCCAGATGTAGCTCTCTCTGCTCCTGGCAGGACCAGCCTCGTCTTGACCTGATATTTTCGGGCAAGGTGGCAAAAACCCTGGTATAGGATGCTTCCTATAGGCCCTGAGCTGGCGGCTGAGCCAACAAAGTACGGCCTGAGCACCGGCCTCTGGGAGAGAGAGGAAGATGGTTACAAGGCCGGAGCCAGGCATCGCCGAGAGGGGCCCAGGGCAGAGCCCGCGCATTCCCTAGGAGTCACGCTTGAGCTCTGCCCGGCATATATATATATAGATAGATAGGAGCTTCAGAATCAATTCAGGGCCAAAGACACCAATAATGTGTAGGATCCTATTTCCGGAATCCGAAGACTATGGGAAAAGCAAGTGCGGGCTTCGTCGTTGCGATGAGGACACTCCGACTCTTCGAACATGCGCTTCTCACTTGCCTTATAGAGAACTGAGAAAAACGAGATCCCGTGCGCACGCCGCCCCAAGGCCTTGCTTATACCCGAGGTGTATGCATGTGTGTGTGTGTGTATGTATTCTTAGTGTTGTCTGGAAAGAGTGACAGGAGAGAGAGAGCGAGAGAGAGAGAGAGAAGGAGAGAG